TCACTCACAGATCCGGTATAATTACAGCGAAACGGAGTGATAATCGTACTTAGTATATTCGTAATCTTTACGTGCGCGCTATATACATTTCCCTTATTACGGAGATTATATTTTCTACTCGTTATTGCATGCGTATCTTATATTTGCACGACGCGATTGCTTTTTGTAGTGCCACCGATCCGGTTCGCGCCGATGACGATCCGTTTAATTTACAATAGATAATGCTAATAGATAACGTTAATACGATGTGTCACATCCGTGTAAGAGTTTCCTTGTGTCACGTCAACGTGTCGCTTTGCTCGCAATGCGCGAAAAACCGGCAGCGCGCAATCGCTATCCATTTCTTTTTTCCTTCCGATCATTCGGTACTGTTATCCACGCCAGCCAGCACGCATACGCGATAACTCCCCGCGAATATTAATTGATTACTGTAATGTAAGACCGTCGCATTTACCGTTGTTCGGTTTGTTCGCTTTCGTACGAGAAAAATTGAAGGATCGTTTCATTTTTATGCGTATAGCTAGTTACAACAAGAGATACCTCGCGAAAAAGAAGAAGAGACTGTCTGTCTTTTTGCCGTGAATATTTGTGTTCCAGGACCAACCGATTTGACGTTAGTGCTTGTGTTATTTGAAGCTTAATCGCTTCCGACAACAACAAAGTGTTCAAGCGTAATAAGCAGGCAGCGCGTTGATTTTTACCTCGCCGCGGAAAGCGGAAAAGATGTTATTGCACGCAGGACCGCCGATTCCTGCACGTTCGATCTTCGCGGGAGCCCGAACGCAGCCGCGCAGAAGCGTAATTATTCATCTCGGGGTCTCATCTTAACACTTCGCAGTAATGGCTACAAATTATTGTAATTCCGACGATCGTAAATTGGCGCAATTTACTTCGCTTCTTCTCGGTAGCGCAACGAGGTAGCCGCTCTTGCGAATTCCGCGCTATACGGAACAAAATAAAATGTCGTGCTAGCGGAAATTGGCACTGTTATCAGCAGATGAAACCGGTCATTGGGCAACCGATTGCTGGTTTTATAGTAATATTGAATTTTACCACTACGGGAATATGAATGGAAAATGGGAATCGGACGAGCCGAGGTAAAAGGGAAGAACCTTAAGTACTTGGTACGTTTCTTAGAATCAAGTCGTTATCATTTTTACCTTGGGAACGGCATGAGACTAAAAATAACGCGTTGTTTTACAGCATGATGGACTCGTTACTCTTGAGAGGATTTAGGCGCGTTAACGGGAATACAAAAACGAAAGTAAAGTGGCGGTGCGGTAAGCTCGTCGGGCAAAAACCGCGTTGAAGATAATGGAAACGAGCATAAGAGAGTGAGTCGCGTGAACCGGGTTACGAGGAATCGGTAGAAAATTTATTTTGGTCATGCAAATGTGAAATGAGTCCGACTTACGAGCGAACGTACGAAAAGCGGGAGCCCACGGGTTGAAGGCATACGAAGAAGAAGAGGAGGTCGAAGGTCGCGAATCCTCCTCATCAGTCGGGAGGTCATTATCGGTTATCTTGCGGAAATCTTAATCTTGCAAGCTGAAGGAGGCGCGTCGAAGTGCGCGAAAGACGACGGGGGGTGGCCGGTAGTATGGCAAGCGCGTTGTAAAAGGGGAAGGAGGAAGAGAAGCAGGGGGAAAGAAGAAAAAGCGGAACTCTCTCAGGATCGACGAGAGGACCGGAGGTAGTATGTAGTACCTTCTATAGTTTAATGGTAGAAGAGCGCAGGAAGAAATAAGAAGCGTCGAATAATAAAGAAGGATAAAAGGGGCGCGAATGGCGACGTGGAAGAAAACGAAGGAAGAAGGTCAGGTTCACGGACCTCGGGCTAAGATCGAGGGATTAGCGAGTGCACCACATTTGAAGCTGATAATTATGCCCGATAGTACGTGAGCGCGGCGTCGGTCGCGAATAATCTTCGGGCGGAGTAAATGTGAAGTAAATTCGCGATCGGGACGGGCAGAACGGCAGAAAATAACGCGAAGGAACTCTGGTCTACCCTGATATATTTTGATCGATTCAAGGCTAGCGTCATCAACGCAAGTTAGTTTCAGCCTCGGTTTAATTAATCCGTCATCTCCGAAGATTGTACGATGATGCAGAGTAAATTAAAGTACGTTCCTTTCTTGAGTTCTCGAAAATTTCTTATATCAAGGAAAGAAGAGATAGAGTAATGTCGCTATAAAATTTTTATAACGCTGAGGCTTTCTTGCTCGAAGATTTTTTTGCGCATCAATTGTTTCCAATCTAGTAGCCCGATTTATAGCTTTCTGACAGAACAATGCAGACGCGGAAGCGTAATATTGGATCGCCGCTTTCGAAGACGGTGACCACGCAAAGGAAAAACCACGTTGCCGCGGCAAGCTCAGGAAGAAGGGAAGAACAGTGGGTGAAGGAAGATAAAGAAGAAGAGGAAGAAGTCGAAGAGTGGTAACTCAGCGGGGAGCGACGGTCGGGGAAGGGAAGCTAAGGTCACGGACCTCCTTCTCCCCGAGATCGGCAGAAGATCAGCCGCGACTCGCGCCTTCGCTACCTTCGCGAGAACGCTTAAACTTGCTAATGGAAAAGACCGCCGTAGCTTCGTAGGGATGTTTAAAAGCGACACGCTGCGCAGTCACGTAATTTACGCGTTAACTGCGCGCGCGGGACGGTCTGACTGACAGACGTTGCATAAAGTCCGCTCAGATAAGCGTCTGGGTGACGATCGGAGGAGAGTCATTAGCGGAGGGGGATGAATATTCGCGACACGTTTTGTGTCAAAGGTGACGGCCTCCGCTGAAAAAAAAAATGAAAGTGGCTCTTTCCGCCGTGAATACCGAGAAAAATGCGACGTCCGTCGTCGCGTCACGCCGCTGGCCGTCGACACCGAGTGAGCGAGTATGCTGATGACACCAAGTTGGCGCATATTAAGCGGACAGAACAATTTCAACGAGTCGAGGAGAGAGGAAGTACCTTTCGAGACCGTCCTCGCGCGGTGACCATCCTCGTGCGTGACGCGACTGCATCGCATGGATAAAGATGAGAAAACGCTCGAGATTCGAGATAATCTCTCCTGCGTTCCGAGAAGGCCCGGCCGGGGAGAGACGTATGGTCCCATTAAAACGACGTAAAATCACCCCGGGTGATTTCCGCAGCCTTATCGTCCGTGTCATTTCGGCCCGTCGTCCGCTCGTCTCCGTCTCCGTCGTCGGCAACGACGCGACACGCAGGCTCGCAGACTCGAGGACTTGATCAACGCCTGTCAGATAGTACCTGCTAATCCTCCGGAGTGCTGCAATCCGGGCGCAGCGAGCGCGGCAGACTCCCGACCGGCTGCCGGCTGAACATCAATTTGTCTACCGGAGGAAATAAAAGAAAGCACCAGTCTCTCCGTGCACTTCCTGATGCGCACGCTCGCCTACAATGTATATTAAACATTCTACCGGTCGTTCAGCGTCTGTCAGCCGACGTGACGCTTGTTTATCTTTGCCTCTCGCGAGCGAGATGACTTCTGCAGACCGCGCGGAACATGCGTGAAGGCCTCCTCTCTTTCTCTCTGGATTCTGGTATCGCCTCAAGCGATCAAATGAGCTGCTAAACCACGTAAAAATTCAGCTCGGGGCATCTTATTTCTCATTGAATCATCTCGGCTACTAGTTGCATTATTTATCCTCCCATTATCGTGATATTAGACCTGCATTGTGTTCCGTGAAACGGAAAGTAACTAAGCTACATGTGTGAAGGATCAGTAAAAAAATTAGAGGAAAAAAAATAGAAAATAAATTTATAATTTAATTGGCTTGTTTCGAGCAAGTCGATGCCTATACTTGAAACGTCTAGCAGAAAATTAATGATACCAACGACGTCCGCGAGCGTTATTAAAACGTCACAGTCCCTGATTGTTCACTCTGTCATTCATTATCGGGAATCGCGACATGACGGAGGGCTTGGCCGGTGGTTGCCGGACTGCCTATTCCGGGATGCAGCCGAGGATCGGATACATTGCGTGAAACTGCTTAGGTCCTCACCTCAGTCACCTTGTCGTGGGGAAACGTTCGCCACGTTCCCTAACAGTTGCGCGCACGTGACGATGATACCTCACCGTGAATTATTGCCCGATGTGCGCCGGGCTCGCTGCGAAGCGCGTGCGTTAAGTGCGGGGAAAATATTGCTACCTCGCGTATCTTCCGAGATTAATGTTGAATTATACCCGCGACGATATCCCTGGGATTGTTCCCGCGTCGCTTCCTGCTTTGACGCTCACGAAGACACAATCTTCGATGACGTACAGGTCGTTCGAGAGTATTCCAGTGGAATTTTTGTTTAAGAAAGAATTCTTTCCTGAATTGGTGAAAGAGCTTGCACATATGAGAAAGATGTAATGCACTTGAATTACTTCGTAAAAATTATGTAAACTTTCTATTTTATATCTCTCATAACTCTCGTTGAACTTATCTCAGGATTAGGACGCGTTCCTCTCGATACGTGGCTTGACGTCATCCGCGGTAACGGTGAAAGTATCTATCATGGTATTCCGCGAATAAACAGGGTCTAACCCAGTGGGATATGCATCATCACACATTTCCCGAGCGCATCGCTGCGCTCTTCGCTTTTCAAGGTCGAGACGTTTACGACTTTATGGGGCAATTATCGTGGTATACAGCAACTTAGTTTGCGGATGTGGCTAACTTCTCATTCTTCCATAAAGCAAAATCGTAAATTGTCTTGAAAATTCCCCTCTCTCTTATCCAGATATATATATTTTAAGTATCGATTCAAGCGATGATTAATATTAATTGCATATAAAGATCGTAAGATATAAGAAGTAGCGAAAAATTTTTAAAATGTTTTACAGGAAGACTAATTCAATCGTATTTATATTTTAGAAACGTTCTATATAATTTTTCCTATTCTTTGACTTTAAGCTTCTTTGAAAATAAATATTTTAAATCACTCATATTTTGCAAAAGTGTTTCCGTGTTTCTTATAAAATATTCATGTTTATGTTTCAGTGCAAAGCAAAGTAAGATGTACCAAGCAATTGATGGAAGTGGATATAGTGAGGAGTAGTCCGCAGGCGAAGATATATCTCCAGCAATTCAAGCATTTTCCGGGTGAATATATTCAAACATTTTACGTTTGGCACTTGGGAGTAAATCAAATTATTACTCACAACGAAATTTCTACTTTTGCAGACGAGGCTTGTAAGCCGCAGTTTCACGATGGCGTAGCCACGTTTAAATTATCGCTGCTGGAACAGGACATGTTACGGTGCGGCATTACAAGAGTCGTCAACAAAGTCACGGTAAACCATAATTTTATTTAAACAAAATTCCGACTTAATTCTCAACTGTTGCGTTAACGTACATTCCGCCTTAAAAGGTCGCGCGGAAACCTCTGCATTTACATAATACGGGATATAACGTTTTGTATCGGGATTATGAATTTTGATGACGCAGGGTCAGAAGATGTACTATCATCGGGTAATAGTGGAGGAACCTGCGGATTCCAGCAAACACACGTTCACGGTGAAATGCGTAATCACCGAAGTTGTCGTGGAGCCTGAAATCACCGTCGCGGCCAATCACACGGCGGTACGGCGGAGCGTTCTTCCGGCGGGCTTTCAGGAACCTGAGTAAGTCATCAATCACTCGACATTAAGGCGTTTGATATTACGACACCAAGTATCCGGCATTCGTCATGACGCGGCGGACGCAATCGTATTCGCTTTTGTTGTGTTGCGATAAATATGCGTAATTCATCGTGGCACAAGTAATAACGCGCAATAAAGCCGCGGAGATAGTGAGTGGGTAACGTAAATAGAAGAAATCGCAAGGAGGCGCATCCTGCTAATGAGCGTGATATTTATCAAATCTATTAGATTGACTTAGCCGTCCCGGGAGATTCTCGGACTTCAAGCTTTTCATTTCTCGCCAGTCATCCGACAGTGTTAATCGCGTCGTACCTGCCGCGATAGACAAGACTCTCTCACACTTCCCTCGTACGAAATGATCCCTCGGCATGGGCAAACGAGTGGGTTTAATTACCCGGAAGTCGCGCCTCTCTCGCGCGCGAGTGTGAGAGAAAAAACTTCTCTCCGTACGGAAGCCTGACCTACCATTTTGGCGAACGTGACAATCGCATCCTGTCGAGTCAACGAGCATAGCTCCATCGTCGTGCAAAAAGCGGCATCTCTTATTGGCCAGCCGCGATTTATTACAGATAGCTCGAGAAGCAAGAAAATCCATTCACGTTAGATTGCTTAAGCATCCTTTTCTTTCCGATAGATTTTTTTACTACTAGAGATAACTATGTTTGCTAAATGCAAAGCGAGGATATAATTTGCTAAGTGATACACGCCTTCTTCCGTTCGTCTCCGAGACAGGAAAGTCTCGGGGAGAATTTTATATCGGCGTTTCATATCTCGACGACGACGATATGTAATAAATAATTTTAAAATCACTGAGTATAATGAAGTGCAATTACGTCGTATTCTACGCCACCCAAATGGATGAATATAAGCGTTATCATTTCCCGCGTCTTCTAGATAAGCGTAGATCTCGTTTACGCCGTTAGCTTCGCAGAACGGGTATTAACAAGCGAGAATATCGTATCCTATTAAATTTGCAATCAGGCGATCTTCTGGGGCATGTTGAAATGTTTTTTTTTTTTCGTTCTTTAATTGGTCAAGAGTCGGCGACTTACCGGCGAAAAAGTAAAACTGGTCGCCGATTTGCATGGCTACGGAACAAGACGATGCAAAGCAGACGCGGCGCGGCGGTGGGGCTGCTTTATCGGTGAGGACGGTGAAATTGTGTGGAAAATTCGATGATTACAAAACGATTGACCGGCCGATCCACATTCGAGCAAATAAATGTTTCCACTTGACCTGAATATGCGTGCAGAAGCTAGCTAGACTACTACAGGAGTCATCATCATCGAGAGTTCGTAATTTGTAAACGAGTCGAGATGCTGCCGTCTGATTTATTTGCACAACGGTCGAACGCACGTTGCAGCTGCTGGAAAACCAGTATAATATATTTCAATCCGTGAGACCTAATCAGCATTCCCGCTTTTTCCCTCTTCACCTCGAAAATCGCTGGACGGGTCACTCACATCCAACATCCAACTCGCGCGGAGCTGTTTCCAGCCGGTCTAACGTTTACTCGGGGAAACGTGCGGTTCGACGCGAGTACGCAGAAATAGGCGAGGAATAGCCGGACGATTGAGATACAGGGAAAATTGCATCGAGCACGGCAAAAGAGACGTTGCGATTTATGGCTTCGCACAGGAAGATGGAAGACATAGAGAAGATGGAAGGAATAAACGTTGATTATGGAAATGAGCTTCCGCGACGTGATTAAATAACAAATTCTTCCTTCAGCCTCAGATTCAAGTGAATTCTAGAATTACCATTTGAGTAGATGCCAAAGAATTTGAAGCTGAATGCTAAAGAGACGGACGCAGCGCGCAAGTGTGACGGCCTCTCGCGAAATCTTTTTCCGAAAGGAAGACCGACATCAAGTACTTATTAAGTTCGCCGAGGAATTTAATAGCGGGACATCTTGTGTATAGTTGAGACACGCGGTGACATTACGAGAGTCGATTTTATGGTGCGACGAACGACGGAACAGCCGAGTCCATTGCGCAACGGTTCCTTTACAGATGGTAGAAAAGCCACGGCGCGAATTTAGCATGTTGGACGAAGCGTCGAAGAGAGAAGAGAGGCCTGTCGGAAGGATCCCTTGCCTTCTCCCGAACGAAAGTCGCTTCGCCGGTCGACATTCTTCAAGTACCCTCCGGGGACGTGCTCTCAAGAAAACACAGCGAGGAATTTTTATCGCGACTGCCGCCGGCCGCCGAGGCAGTAATTTATTGGCGTTAATCGAACGTACACTTCGACGGATCGGATCTCGCGCGAATTCCGTAAATCGCCGCATCGTCCGCTACCAGGAAGCCGCGGTCGAAATCTTTATTGTTGAATTATCAAGGGATGACATCGCTGCAACTATCCCGGGTTCGAGTCACGCGACGTAAAATCTTCCCATTAACTATCCCTGCTTGTCGACAGAGCTGCATGACTGCTGCATTGTGCATGCCTATTTGCTCCGGGATGAATTCCGGAATTATTAGTTTATGAAGGATAATTATTCGGTTAGTTTTGTTCGGCTTCGAAGAAAATCTGAGCCACGAACAGAGTTAAATACAGAAAATTCTAAGGATTCCTCCAGTTAATGACGGCTCGGACAAATTGAATTTCTCCCCGAGCATGCCTGATATACATTGCGTGTCTCCTTCAATAGAAAATAAGTCGCGTAATTAAATATATTTTACTCAACATTATATCGCGTATACGAAAGGTCGTCACGCGTCAGAAAACGATGTAACAAAGCGCGCTCTGTGTCCGAGATAATGAAAAAGGAGAATGAGACGGTTCAGAATGAGGAGGGAATCATGTAAAATAACACGAGTCACAGTCATAATAATGACTAATGATTCCCAATGTACCAGTCCCGATACTTTGTTATTGAACTGCATTCCGTATACGCGCCTTTTATTTTAGAACTCGATCTGCCCGGTTCTATCTCGTTCCTCATTGCCGCGTACGGATTCCTAGCCACCTGGTAATTTCACGGTCTACCCATTCTGGCGAACATTCGTCTTCGTTATTTCGTCTGTCACCGTGATTTCGCTAGGACGACGATCCACGCCGCCCGGTTGCCCGTAATCCAATGCCATAACGTCGCGGAAGCGAGAGATGAGTCTGCACGAACTGGAGCACGCGTTATACCGGCTCGGAATTGATTTACGTGGCCGGAAAATGCGACGAGCACGCACGGATGGTTCACCTTTTGCTTTTTTTCTCGATAAAATGGATCGTGCTCGGGGTCGCGCGCATAATCTTCCGCGATTTTGCATAAGACCGTAAAGTGGGTCGAATCTTCCTACGGAGATAACTGCGGCGCGGCGCGGCGCGACATGGCACGGCGTCACAGGTCATCGCGATGGTGTGGCGTGTACAAACTGCCGCTGGCTTGGAATTGCATATTTGGATACGCAACATTGATTACCGTACCGGCCAGATGGTCGCCCCTATTATATGATTTCATTTTGGAAAGTAGGCGATTGCGACCTTGCGGTTTTCGGTTCTGTCCGTTTCTGTCGAGCAGTTTATTGCGGATTTGATGTGTGGCAATCAGACGGATTTAAGTAGTTCGCGATAGTTGAACTTATACAATTTAAAGGCTTATGCAGGGTATATATATATATATATACATATATTATACCTGTGATGCAAGATATGCCTATAGAAATTATAGAGAAGAAAAACTTACGAAAGTTCTTAGAGATAATATTTAAAGTCAACTTTCAAAAGCTTATTATAAATACTATTTTTAATTATCATATTCATTTTCTAACTCTTACACTGTTAAGTATTTATAAAGGATGAAATTTAAATCAATATCTTGAGTAATATTTTGTTATTTTCAACTACCATGTGTGTCGAAATTTATTATTTTAATACAAAACTGTATTATTTTAACTAGTATTTGTTTTAGTTAAATTAATGACATATCGAGTAGGAGCAGTGGCGACTTACAGGTTAAAAATGACTGAATATAACTTGATACCACGAATTTAACAGATGTAGATAGATCAGATTTTAAAGAAATTTATTTACTTGCTTTAGAGTGATCGACATACGTGAGGAAATTTCGGGAGCGGCACCAGTTCCGATCCTCGGCGTCGGAGTAAGGCAGGGTGGAGCTTTGGTGACCGGCGAGCTCAACGTCAGTCCCGGTACGCCGTTGCAGATGGAAATATTTTTGGACAACGATTCAGCGCCGATCTACGGTCTGCTGGTGACTTACATGTTGGTCACCGACACCAAAACGCAGGAGGAAACGATTATTATTAACGGGTAATTGATCAACGTCGATGCCGTTGCACACTCGATTGAAGAAACATTGTTTCGCACTATACGGTTCCACTGTACGCGTTTCCGCGCGTTATAATGCGCGTCAAACATGCGTCTCCATAGTTATAGGGTTACACCAATCAAATGCGTGCTTTTTTCAAACGCGCACGTTTAACGTGCAATTTAAACGCGCGGCAACACGCGTGCATCGAAACCAGTTACATCCCACATTAGCCACATATGCATAATTTGCGCACACACACAGAAAAAAAGAATATTGTTGATTTGAAAATATCTTTAGTTTCAACGTGGAAATCTTGAAATGAGATTATATTACGTTAAACAAAGAAAATTTGCTTGAATAAAGTTATTTTATATGATTCAACGAAGAAAAAAAAGTTTACATAAAAAGTTGACATTCTTATAAGAAGATTATAGATTGTTGTATAGATTATAGATTGCATGTATATACGAAACAATGAACGCGTTAATTTGAGTATACAAATTTTGATTTAACACTTTTTTTTTTATGCAGGTGCTCCGTTGATCCTTACTTGTTCGAAAATTTCAACACCGTGGATGGCGACTTCCTGACGGCGAAATTCCGAGCCTTCAAGTTCCCGGAAAGCACCTACGTTCAGTTCCGCGGCACCGTTAACGTCTGCTTGGATAAGTGTCCAGGGGTATGGCCTTATTATTTCGTAGCACGATTATTAAATCAGCGACTTTTTTTAACTTTATTTACACAATCGTTATCCTTTTTTTCCGCTCTGTCGGACGCCGCTACCTCTCGTTCTTTCATCAAGTTTATTAAGATGCGTGCGGGTGTTTATTTCAGATCGAATGCAGCAACGGGCAAATCGGTTTCGGCAGGAAAAGACGCGCCATTGAGATGTCAAGCACCGACAAGAATAAATTGTTCGAGGTAACCATGTCGACATTCATCAAGGTCGATTCCGCGGATGACGTCACGATCGATCAAGGTATATATCTTCATCTCGCCAAGAGAATGAGCGTTTGAATAATTACCGTGTATTCATCATGTTTATGGCTCCTGTTACGGTGTGTACATGTACTTCGTATGTTGTTAGTGCTTTCGGGATTCATCAGGAAAGGAAAGAACAGGACGCACACGAAGGAAAGGGCGGTGATCGCTGAAGAAATCAGGGAGCAGTCCGATCCGACGACAATTAAGACGCACGAAAGAGCGTTTCTCGCGGAAGAGATCAAGGAACAGTTTAAATACAAAGTCACCGAGGTGGTACTCAATGGTTCCTCGTGTAGTGCGCTGAGCTTGTCTCTCCTTTTGGTCCTTCTTTGCTTCTACAAACTGCTGTAGAAGATGAGATTCGTGTTTCCTGACAAAAAGATTGCTAACTGTAAATAAGACGCAGTCTGAGATATGTTAAAAACATGAAGGAAAAGTAAGAAGTATTGCTTCTGGGAATGATAGTTAACTTGCTCACTAATAATAATCGAGAGATTTCGATCGTCATAACAGCAGATCACTAATTATATAGCGGTGATCAGACAGTGTATAATCAAAATATGCCTTGAATGAAATTTGATTTAAAATAACGATATTTCAAAGTAGCGCGTAATTTCCTCAAGAGGAAACTTGTCTTCATTGTAAAATTGCCGTCCATGTTAAAGTACTTATGCGTGATATTGAAAATATGTTTAACGAGAATCGAATGTTAGGCGACAAATTCGATAAAATTTAAATTATCGAATTTGGAATTAAAAAAAAGTTTAAATAATGGATTACCTATCTTGGCGCTAACATAATAAACAGTAACATATGTATATGATTTCTCCGCTCTGCGACCGCCGAATTTTCAATCGCAACGTTTCAGTTTTTAGTTTTATTATATCTTTTTTTAATTATATAACGTAAGTAACTGCCGTATCTCTTGATAGAGTGACTGCCAAAAGAAAATTGGCCTTTGCGAGCGGAGAAAGACGAAGACCTAGTCGTGCGACGAGGTGTAATATTAAAATGCGACTTAATTATTTACTAAGTAATTATTAATTGTGTATTTGTAATCTCAGTTTAATTATTACGTTAAATAAATGTAAAATAAATAAATCGACAGCAGACGCGCGGCACAGTGATTATTTTTTAAGTCACAATTATCCCCTAATACTCATTAAAAATAAACTATAATAATAAGGAACGTATTTGAAGAATAGGCCGATTTTAACTGAGTTAAAATATACTCTATTTTCTGTTATTAAAAATACAACGAAAATGCTTCTGCAGAAAGATGCATTCGGGAGAAATTATGAAATAATAGACATGTAAGCGTTATTATAAATATAAATCATCAACAGCGTAAAATATAACAAAACATATATTTAGAATGTATAACAATAGAAAAATATTTCTTTTACAAAATATAATTTTTGGCGCATGTATACATATATATGTATATATATCAGATATAAAAAAAAAACATAAAGCTTAACAATAACGTGGGGTACTTTCAAGATATACTTTCACTCGTTTTGGTACTTGGTATTACATTCGGAAAATACCGAATTTAGTGTCAGATATAGGCACGTTCAGACTCGCTGACAAACTCAAGCCGAGTACGACTCGCGTGTCCACCGGATCAATCACACCATCATCCCAAACTCTAAAAAATATCAGGATATTCATAAAAAAAATTAATATTTTTTTTATGCAACGACAATAATTTACCTAGCACTGGAGTAATATGGATTGCCTTCTTTCTCAATCTGTTTTATAATTGGATTTTTGAGATTCTCTTCTTCTTCTTGAGTCCACTGCAAAATCGAAATTTGTATTTATATCTGCATGTTAAAGAAACAAAAATTAAATCATACCTGTTTGCCTTCTCTCTCACGTTGCTCCCTCGTGATTTGCGCTAATACGCTCGCTGCTTGCTCTCCTCCCATTACAGATATTCTAGCGTTTGGCCAGGAGTAAAGGAAACGCGGGGAGTAAGATCGACCACACATTCCTATTCAGATATTCGTATTATCTTAAATTATCTTTTTCTCTTTTCAGAAAGAAAATATTAAAATAGCTAAAAAGAGATACCGAAATTCCCAGCTCCGTAGGAACCCCCGATTATCACTGTGATTTTCGGCACCTGCGCGCATGCTACCGCTGTTACCATTTTAGCGCCATTTTTTGCGATACCACCTAATTCTGCATCTCTACCCACCATAAATCCTATATTGATGAACTTGTTTAATTATATAATTGCGTGACACGAATTTTAATACATTAACGGTGTTTATATAATTGTACCTGTAATATTTTGCAGAAAGATAAGAGGGATTTTTCTTCGAGTGCAAAGCTGTACAAAGTGAGTTCCCTTTAGAGCACTTTCCGAAAACAATACACCGTTGTTCGCAATTATGCCAACAGGATAGCCGTAAATTTTGGCGAATCCAGTGACCAAGGTTTCGCCGTATTGCGCTTTAAATTCGTGGAATTTTGACCCGTCCACGATCCTCGCGATGACTTCCTTTACATCGTACGGACGTTTCAGATTCACTCCGACGATGCCATAGATGTCATCGATGGCGTGGACGGGCAGCTCAATGTTTTTACTGATTTTTACATCCATAGACTGTTGCAGATTTAAATCTTTCACAACTCGACGTGCAAGATACAAAGCATGCGTGTCGTCTATCGCGTAGTGATCGGTTACGCCAGATTGCCTACAATTTTAATTATAACTGATTGAACATTTACGATCAGTGTAGTATTTAAAATCATTACCGACAATGAAGCGCGGCTCCTCCCAAGTCTTCTGCTGAAACCTCTTCACCCGTTGAAGCCTTTACCAGTGGTGGGCCAGCCAGAAATATTGTACCTTGATTGCCAACTATAATACTTTCGTCCGCCATAGCAGGAACGTATGCACCACCTATAACATGAATACAAATGATAAATCAGTACATAAGACAAAACAAAAATAAATGTTGAACTGCGGCTACGGTCAACGTGACGTTACAAATGCTTCGAAGCATTCCTCTTCTCTTTTCTTTCAATGAAGAAAGAAAGAGAAGAAGAATGCTCCAAAGCATTTGTAGTGTCACGTTGACCGTAGCCTGAATATCGATAATAGAAAATAATGACAAACCTGCTGTGCAACTTCCCATAACCACTGCGATTTGGGCTATCCCTTTGGCGCTCATGTTTGCTTGATTATAGAAAGATCTGCCAAAGTGCATTTTATCGGCAAAAACATCAGCCTGTTTGGTCAAATTTGCACCACCACTGTCGACCAGATATATGCAAGTTAATCTATTTTCCTCTGCAATTTCTTGTGCTCGTAAATGCTTCTTGACCGTGATGGGGTAATATGAACCACCCTTTACAGTACTATCGTTTACAAGTATTACACATTCGGTGCTGAAAAAAAAAATTTAGTTGAAACACTAATGTCGAAAGAATCTAAAATGTTGATTTTGTCATCTATGGGTCATATACCCTTCTACTCTTCCGATGCCAGTAATAATTCCTCCCGCCGGCACTTCGTCCTTACCATACATCTCGTAACCCGCCAATTGCGAGAACTCTAAGAAAGGCGAATTCTTATCTAAAAGAGTATTTATTCGTTCCCGAGGTAAGAGCTTCCCTTTGCTTACATGTCTGTCCCTGGCTTTCTGCCCGCCACCCTCAACTATCTTCTCCACAGTGTCTTTCAACTGATCAACAAGATTTTTCATTTGCGCGTAATTATCCTGCAAAAAATAATTACGTTTACAGTATATTTGTAGATAGATACGTAATTTATTCATGTTACAAAATTCAGTACATTTATATTTATAATATATCTATATAGACACGTGATTTGTTTATATTACATAATTAAAGCAAGAAGCACATGTTTGGAAGTTAATATTACTTATAATATCAAAGGTTGATCTTCGTGTATAAGTTTTATAAATTATGACGTTTATATTTTCCTCCAAAGTGGCACAAGTATAGTTACAAAAAAAAAAGAACAGTGAAATGCACAACTGTACTTCCTAACCTGATAAACTAGCGAACTGGTGTCCGGCGTGCTGCCGATGACGGACGCTTCCTCATGATAAAATCTCACGGAGGGCCGAAAATGCCTCAGCAAATAACGACTCCGTCGTAACATTGTTCATAAATACTTTTCTACCGCCACGAGAGAAATGACAGTCGATAACAATCGACACGTCTCGTAACGTGCAAGTCGAAGTTAGTGAACCTGCTCAGTGCTCCAGTGACGCACGTGGCCACGTAGAAGAGATTGTTTGTTTCTTATCATGGGACCCACACGTACACATATGTGTGCGCGATTAGATACGTGCATGACTGGCATTATTCGATGCATAATCGATGGTCGCGCGGGGTTATTTCTAGGCTAGGTCAGAGAGAAGCCTGGCCCTGAGGCCTGAGATAGCTCCTGCCCACAGGACGCGGAAACGCTTGCCGCGCGGCAAAAAGCGACGCAGTAGCCAATAAACTTTTGGTTCGTACGGAAAAGCAACACGTTGATTGGCTACCGCATCGCCTCTTGCCGCGCGGCAAGCGTTTCCGCGTCATGTGTGCAGAAGAAGGGGCAAGAAGGGGTTGAGTACTGTTTAAAGGTTATTCTACATAGAAGTCGTAGTCGTGAGTTGTAAGAAATTGACCAATCACATTCGAAGTTGAGGAGAATATTCAATCTGTGATTGGTCAATTTCTTACAACTCACCACTACGACTTCTATGGCTAGGTTCGTCTTGACGCTTTCAGCGCTGTAAGCATCATTCTATCTTTGTTGCACATTGAACATCAAACGAAGATAGAGCGATGCTTTCAGCGTTGAAAGCGTCAAGACGAACGCAGCCTATGTAGAATAACTATATAGCTCTACGATGGAATTACTGACTCGTTTGATTCAACCGTTTCACTTGAGTGTCCAATACATTATTACTGTGCAGGACATATACTACGTTTACGCGAGCGTTACTTCTGTATTAACTTACGATATATCACTCGTTTACGTGGAGTAAATTATCGTAAGTTACTACAGAAGTAACGCTCGCGTAAACGTAGTAATATATACATACATAGTTTATTACATTTTGCCAAAGTATAATAATATTAATATATTGTACAAAATAATAAGTACACGGAGATATATACATATATCACTGGGCCGAGCCCGCGCTTTTGGAAGTCACGTGGAAGTGACGTGCAGCGTTGTGCCTCATTTGCTACGCCGGTCACGTGGCTATAAACGTTGTTACTTAAGTCGCGACCCGCGCCCTCAATGGTTAATGTTTGCCGGTTCAGTTACACTTGTCGAAAGGTCGATTAGTTGAAAATCAGAGAAAAGCTAGGGTTTTCGAATAGCACGAAAGATTCGTTACGAAGAGGAAGTTGTCCGAGACAGGTAAAGAATTTATATTCTGTTTTGTTTCACCGACGGCCTGAACGAAAGTTCAACAATGTAACAAAGGTTATTAAAAGTAATATGAGATACGTAGTAATAATCGGGAAAAGAAACCACACGAGAGCACACGAGGTCATTAATAACTCAAGAAATGAACAAAGAACTCGAGATACATTAAAAACTGGAAAAAAATGCTCGGTTGACGGTACATACACTATTTTTTTATGTAAGAAAAAATGATGAAATGAGATTCATTTTCACGCATACCTAGTCTCAGGTAATTTGCTCGCCTTTCTCAGACTCTCTTTCGTCAGGGAAATTGAATTCTCGACGCAAAAAAAGGGAGGAATGTAAATTACTCCTGATTCTTGCAGCAAAGCGTACATAATTACATATTTGTCGCATTAAGACGTAATAAAATATTTACATGTAGCGTCATAAGTCGTCTGGATGGTTCCACATTGTCTGATTCTAATATGCACAACTTCTAGAAATTCTGAGAACGAACGCTGAATGATGACTTATATGATTGACTTCTGTTATTTTCCATTGTTTAACTAGAAAGTCAACTTTTTAGTATAGAAATAATTCTAGTATTGCAACAATTGATTACAATTTACATGCAGGTCTCACACTAGAAATTACATTGTTATTATTGAATTGTGCATTTATTTTTGATCCATTATACATGTTTTTTCACATGCATGCATATCATTATTTAGTAATAATTTTATCTTCTGTGCTTTTTGCATTTAAGATAATACATATATAAATAAAGGACACGATTAAAAAATGTCAGAGTCTTTCTATGTTAAATCATAATGCAACATCATATAATTTGTGTCGTAGAATTATTTCACCATGAGGAAGTCAGTTATGAGTGCACAGGAATGGAACAAGAAGGGTCTCGAAGAGGATAAAAAAGGCAATTTTTCAGAAGCATTAAGTCACTACACAAACGCAGTAAAACTAGAAGAGAACAAAACGTACAAAGCAATGTACTACAGAAATCGAGCTGGTGTATGTTTAGAGCTGAGCGATTACGAGAAAGTGGTTGAAGACTGCAACACTGCGTTAAAGATATGTTGTAACAAAGCACTGTATCGCAGATGTCGAGCACTAGAAGCGTTAGAGAGATTCGAGGAGGCATATCGGGATGCAGAGATGATTATTTCATCTGATCCCAATAACAAAGTTTTTCAACGCTTAGCGAGACGCTTGCTTAAAATTGTACAAGAACGTAAGGAAAATTTACATACTAGTCCTAAGGTAAATATATATAACTATCACAAAACTATTACAAAAGTTCGTTAACTAGCAAGACATGATAATTTAATCTAGATAAAATAATAATTGTAACACATTTTCCGTATTGGATGCATTAGTAAGAGTTTCTGTTTCGCTCAATATCACATATAATTTGATAAATGTATTTTTATTATCTCTTTTATTATATAATTATTAATTATTGTTAATCAATAGTTCGCACACTACGGGTAAAAATTACATCATACAAACATAATGTCACAGTTATTTAAATTTTTATTGCAGATCATTATATTTAAGTATACGCTTAATTTTGCTTTGTATTAGGTATCAGAAATGCTGGATATAGCATTTGACGTGAACGTTAGTGAAAAGGAACGTGAAATTGCTATTAATGATTTGCTTGTGCTCGCACGTGATGAATCTGGTGCCGAGGAGATCTTTAAAAAGGAAGGCGTATTCAAAATCGTTCAACTTGTGAAAGTGGAAAAGAACGAGGAAGTGATCTGCAGCGCGATTCGTATTGTAGGCGAGTTATGCGAAAACAATTTTAGTCGAACTAAGTTCGTTATGAAATACGTCGGTCTGTCTTGGTGTCTGGAACTAATGAACAGCACATCTATAGAGAGAGTTAACGCGTCTCAGTATTGTTTACAGGTAAATATCGAGTAAATTACATATAGTTATTTTACACGTATTTTAGTAATTAAAAGTTTATTGGATTTTTTGAACTTGAATTTTAGAATATATTGAACACTTACATCGACATGAATAATAAACCCGATTCAAATCTCAACGAGGATTTATGCGAGGCGCAAAAGGAAATAGACACGATTATGCTGTGCTTGTTGTACAGTATAACAAGTAGAACAATAACAGGCCCTGCTAGAGACGCAATAATAAAACTTATTATGAGTAACATTCATTGCGTAACTATGTTAGACTGGTCTAAACGATTTGTCGAACTTCGCGGTGTGCAAAGATTGATGGAGGTAGC